TACAGCAAAAAAAGCAAAGCATAAGGCGAAGCCCCCGGAATGGCTCTTTTGAGGCCCAGAACTCGAGAGTTTCTCGGCCTCAGGCTGCGGGCGACTCGCGAGGAGCAAAGCCCAAGAGCAGACGCTACAACGCCGCAGGAGGACCCAGGAGGACCCAGCTAAGCGTTTCGTTCCCCCATCGGAGTGTAGGAGGGTTCAAGTCGAGTCTCTTGGTTTTTCTCTGGCGGTCAGGAGGTTCAGGGCCCCAGGGCCCCAGGGCCCCAGGGTTGCAGCTCAGGTTCTTTAGGGTCCAAGGCTTAGGTGCAAGGCGGACCTGGCCCGGCAGCCGTCATGTTCTGCTTCTCTTATCATGTTCGTCAGCATGTCATGACGCCCACCCTCGATAACGAACTATCGGTATCGGTTTTGTTGCTAAGGCTACCGTTCGCCAGACATCCCGAAAGCCAGTGTAGGTAGAGCCACTAAGTTATGGATTATGGACATGCGCGTTGACGTCTCGCTGCAGTTGCACGCTGGCATTGTTTCTGGCCAGGTTTCGTAGTCACAATGTTGATCAGCTCTGCCCTTAACCTTGGCCTCTGAGGCTGCCAAGCACTTGCCCGAGACGGTTTTGGCCAAGGCAGCTACCTGTGCGAGTGCACGTTGAGTACGTGCCTGATGCAGATGGATGTCGTTCGAGTAAGTGACGGGTCCAGCACTGCACTGGACTATCCGTCGCAGAGTGTGGCTTGTGCAGAATAGCACATCTACGCGGCAGTGCTAGCCGGTGGAGAAGGACAACTATCAGAACAGCCTTCTCATCAACAAGCAAGCACGACACCGAAGTCATGTCTCGAAAGTGCACAGTCTTGCCTTGTTGTCAGATGCCCTGGCGGCTGTTTCAGCGCGGATCCCCGGAGTCATTTTCAGTTGTTGAATTCAGAGTTCGTTACAAGGACGATTGAAGAGGCCAGCAGATCTCCAAACCAAGTGATCATACAGCCAGCGATGTTGCAGAACATGGATAGACGATCTGTTCTGACTCGCAGTTGTACTTCTGTCCGGTGCTTCCGAAATTAGTAAAATCAGTGTGTGATCCCCGCTTACAATGTCTGACAGACAGGCGCTTTCGAAGGACATCGGTCGTGCAGCGTGCACTCGAACAATCTCGTACATATATGTGTGTCTGTGTGTGATGCAGGCCCTGATGCGAAGGGTACCACATGGACGTACGAAGTGTTGTTTGAAGTTTCTGAATTCGCTCATTCGAACCGATCGTCGACGTGTTGTGTATTCCCACAAGCGTCAAAACAGTGTTTCTCCGCAGTTGGCACCTGGGGGAAGGATGGGTCAGGTGCCAATGAAGGAACCAATCCCGACCTGTGACATAGGAGTGGGACACCACTCCTACGTACCTGCATGTGTTGATTCTGTGAGCCATCGATTGAGATTGCAACGTCATGTGATTCCGTGAACCATCGATTGAAATTGCGCCGTCATGTGACTCCATGGACCATTGATTGATGTTGCGACATCATGTGACTCCATGAAACATTGATAGAGGTTGCGACGTCATGTTTCGTGATTTCCATATCAGCTTGACTCCAACTCAAGTGTGTGTTTGTGGCAACATCTTGTTTCGTTCGCCTGTCGGAAGGTATGTGCGTGTTTGCGTGTATGAAGAATGTATGTATGAGTGACTTAATACCCGCAGGACAGTCGACAAGGGAACGAAGTGAGTGAATGAATGAACGAATGAATGTGTTCGTGAATCAATGAATGCCTGCATGCATGCATGCAGGCGTTGCCTTGTTCGGTGTGTGCGTGTGTTGTATGCATGCATGATTATGCATGTATGCATGTGCGTACACCGTTTATGTAGTCTTAACAAGCATGTACGTAAGCATGCAAGCATATAGATGTACACCCTGCATAGTACTGCTTGTGGATGTCCTGCAATGACGTTGAGACTGTAGCGTGAGGCTGCGTCAGGTCTACATCAGACATCAGCAGCTTCTTTGTCTTTGGGGCCCATGGTCTGCGATTGCTCCCTCGTGTCCGGGGGGTCGGGATCCGGGGCTTAGCAACTAAGGAGGATTGTACTGTACTTGTGCAGCTCAAGGCTGGCCTACCACCCCGATCCTGAACCCCCCAAACTGTGAAACACAAGCCTGCAAACAGCTCTCTGAGCATCCTCGTCCCCGCTTCGCTCAGGCAGGGCATCTCCGTAGCCGTTCTTCAAATGCTTCGTTGGAGGGAGGCCTTTGATTGGCATGCAGAGCCCGCGGAGCAGGATTTGGATTTGGGGTCAGGGCCTGTGGGTTTGGGGCTTTGGGTTTTTGGGGGTGTCGGCTTAGGGCCGTCAGATGCAAGATGCGGAATCCATCTGCAACGAAGACGTCTTCAGAAGAACAGGCAGAGTTGGTCACTGCGTGGATTGATCGCTTGGCAGAAAAAGAGGAGCTCGGATCTTCTTTGCCCTCTCTTGAAGTAGCGATGGGTCCCAAGATTTCTGTCGCGAAAGTTAAAGGCGGGCTGCACGGCTGTGGTTTGTACAGTTTCGATGATAGTTGTGCTGACAACCGTGGTGACATTTTGATGATAAGAGTGTGATGATAGTGATGATAATTATGGCGGTAGTTGTGTTCCAGGTTCTGATCGCCCTCATGGTTACCGTATCGTGTGTAGTAAGTACAACTTGTACTGGGCTTAGAGTGCCGTACTTGCATCTGTGAGCTCGAAACAACTCCCCAGAAGCTCTGGCCAGGTTTGCGAGCAGCTCGTCAGGGCCCTCGGATTTTTCGAGAGTCGGCTGTCCTTTGAGAGCCGCAGAGTCTAGGATACTCACGGCCTGCAAAAAGAAAAGAGCCAGAGGTCAGCGAGCGCGGCAAAGAAGAGTGATCCGCGCGACCAGGAAAACGAGCGGGAAGGCGGCACACCCTGGCGCAACCCACTTGGCTCCTACCGCTGGTTGACGACGCTGCGCGATCCTGCCGTGCTTGTCGGTGTAGTTACGAAGAGTCCCGGTTTGAGGCCTTGGCATGCATTCAGATTGGCCCCTTAGGATCAGGCCCACCGAGGCGATTTTTGCTTGTTGGCTTCGCGATTTTTAGGATTTTTGGGCTGTGCTGGCAGGAGGGTTTGAGACCGTTTAGATTTCACGGCTTGAGGGCTTTTGGTGCAAGGTTCCGGATTGTTGGTCTGGGCTTGCGATGATGGAGCAATATCGACCTTGGGGATGTAAGCTCTCGACCTCTTGACAGGCCACTACCTGCGATCCAAGAGTTCCCCAGCCACTCCTGCCGGTGCGGCGGAATCTTACCTCGATCGAGGCTACTGCTGGGGCTTTGTTGCTTACGGAATCTGCTTGATCTTCACGCTGTTCAGGGGCTCTGGATTCCCGAACTGTACTTGCAGTCAATTCGCAGTCTTGTCCCTGAGTATTCCTCATGCACTTACTTGTGGCATTCGATACCCAGGCCACGTCTGTGGGCCCCGGCATTGTACTCTGAGCTTCCGGAGGTCGCTCCCTCTGTCGGTCCGTCCGTCCGTCCGTCGCTCGCTAGAAATCCCAAAGTCCATGGAGGGTGGCTGCGCCCAGACCTCGTTAGGGGCTTTCATCGGTGGTTTTGGTTTGGGAGATGGCTTTCTTTTGGGATGCGTGCTCGCGTCGGCAGACCCCTCGCTGGGATTCGCGACTTTGGGAACGCGCGAGTAGGTCTGGGGGTAAGGGGTTTCATCGGATCGTGTTTTAGGCTTTGGGGTTTGGGGTTGGGTTGGGATTTCTGGGAGGTTTGGGGAGGTGCTTAGCTTTGTCTTTTGGATGGTTGGGAGGGTTGATTTTGTAGGCAGGTTGGGAGGGTTGCAAGACTGGTTGGGGTTTCGGATGTGAGCTGTGCGGTTTGCCCTTGGTTGATCCACGAAGCCCCAAACTTGCTACCTGGAGGTCACTACGTCCTTGCTCTGGCCGGGTTAGAGCTAGGCGCAACCCAGGGGCTGAGCACAACCTCGTTTTAGGCTTCAACAGCTTTCTGGTCTCCAGGTTGAAGCGGTCTATGTTTCTTGAAACTCAGAGACCACCGATACGCGCACAGATGCAACTTTGGAACTGTACGAGTGACCTCATGAGAGCTATCGTAATTCTGATCACGCTAATTCTCTCATGTCGTCACGGAAGTATTGATCTTATTGCTGCTGATGTAACAACCATTATGGGTTTCCGTTGGGGTGACACGGTTTGGACACTTATGGCTCCAGGCGCACGTGCCTTCAGATCGCGGTTGTGGGTGTGCGGGGGAGTAGGAAGAGCGACAAGGGCTTCGGAGGTTCATGTGATTTGAAGGAAGCCGAAGCACTAAATCGAATGCTAATCTTGGCAATTGGTAGGACTGCACCAGGCTGTTGTGACCCTTTGAAGATATAAGGCAAGCTACGAGGCGCCAGCCTCATGTTTGTCCAGCATGAGCCCACTCCACAGCCCTGAGCCATACTGGTAGCGACCCGAACCCGCTCATGGCTTAGTTTCTAGGGGCTTGTCGCTTGCAGGAACTCAAGGCCTTGGGATCCTGAGCCTTCAGCTTTGCTTCAAACACTCAGCTTCCTTCGAACACGTGTTACTTTGTCTCTGGAGGAGACATAAACAGGAGAGAAGGTGAAGCATAACAGTACCGGGGTGGAGAACCGATGCTGGTCTCGAGGTACGTAAAATAGACGCAGGCAAGTCTCGCTGTGAGCATCGGGCTAACGTCCAATACAACAGCTCCTAGACGTGGTATCAGCAGGAAAACGGCAAAGCATAGTTGAGCCGTGCCCCGCCGGTGGTCGAGCAGCGACGCAATGATTTGTGCTCGAGCGGGCGGTGGCAACGTCTTTGCCTGCGATGCCTGCTTCGAGTAAGCATGGAAGTTCGAGTGTAGAGTTTGGGTGCTCAGCGTCAGGAACTGATTTCTTCCACAAGTATGTAGGGCCACTGTGGAGCAGTTGTCGCTATTCAGCTTCCAATCCTGACGGCTGCGGCGAAGATGGCACCCAAGAAGGGCGGTCGAACCGAGCCACCAGGCACCTCCGGCGGTGTCACTGGCAAGGAGCCATATGTGCGCTTATCTGATAATTTGTAGAGTTCGTACAGCGAAAGTTACGCTTGATGGATGGTTGGTTGGCTCGCTGCTGCTACTGATTCTTGCTAGCATCTGCCAAGATCGGTATCGACAGTGATCTTATTGCATACACCCACAACTTCACAACGCTGGATGAGCTCTGGGTCATCTGAGATTCAGGAGATCTTCTGGAGCAGTCTGAACGATGAGGATCGCAAGCCTCCTTGCCAGCTTAGCAGACCTGAGGGCTGGCCTATGCTAGTGTAGCTCTGACCCAAAATGCGGCGAACCTTTCGAAGGTAGTTGGGTCTATGCAATGTTGGATTGAGCATTGCAGTTTGGGACGGAAGGGGCCGAGCAAGGAGCTAACCGCATGGGTCGGGTTCGTGAATGTAGCGATCACCCTATCAAGGGCCCCCCCTTCTGCAAGCACCCTCCATCCGTACCAGACGTCAGCCGGCAGCAGTGCCAAAGCCGAGGCTTGCCACGGCCTTTGATTGCGCCACGCCGGACCAGCTTCAGCAAGCGAAGAGCAAGAAGAAGGCCCGGTCCTCTTTTGGGAAGCTTTGGCTCGGGAGGTTGACATGTTGACATTCCAACAAGAGGTATCAAGCTCATTCGATGCATCAGATGTTGCAGAACAGTTTGCGGATGGAAAGGTTCGTGCAGGCTATGTCTATGTACTGACTTGCACTGAAAGGTTACGACATGCAAGCGGAAGTGCGCCATCGTGAGAACACCAGGCTAAGATGCGAGCCACGGTTCTGTGAAAGCAATTTCAACCAGATCTTCATTATGGTTTCCCCTGACGTCGTCGCCACCGTCATCGTTAGAAGTATACTGCACATCTAGGTGCCTACAGTTTATCGTCAGTACAGGATCCTGTTAGCATAAATTTCGCCTCAACAAGAAACAGTAGTTTGCTTGTGGTTATGACGAGCATCCCTGCAAGAAGTCTGATGTTGCCAAGCTGCTTGAGCTCTCGAAGGGCTTGGCAATTTCGGGTCGGAATCATTCGCAGTTTTCTTCAGAGTCCCGATATGTCACTGTGCACCTACGGGTTACGAAAGCCCGATAGTTCCTGTGGCGCCGTTGCAGAGGGCGGCTAGGGCCAGGGCTGCCAGGGTTCGAAGCCCCGGGCGGGAGCTCCTCGGCCCGTTGGAGCCGGCTGTACTATGACGATGCTGCAACTCTACGATCTACCTGATCTAGCTTGGGACATGGTGTCATGGCCCGTTGAGTATCGGATGCCATGGTCTACTCTGGTGTAGTGAATATGTTGTGGTTTGCTTTGAAAGTCACAATCTGCAGTGATGCATGATGGCCTACCGCATGCGCTAAAGCCGGTGATGCGCCGTGATGGACACTGAAGTCGGCCAGAGCGAAACGTAGAAGATTGTATGGTGTAGCTCAACCATGTACAGCTTCTTCTGCTTAATACACCTCACGCTCCACATCTTTTTTCAACCTGCAGGCCTCAAAAACAAGGATCCCGCCCTGTTCCACAGGCACAAGAAGCCAAGGCGCAAGAACAGCAGCGTCAGACTTTGAGACAGAATGAGCGAAATCGGCAGTGGGAGAAGGACCCGTCTCCGTTCGCTGTGTTCGGGTAAGGTCGAGATGCTCTGGGCCCTCAGATTTCGACCCTGCAAGGACAAGTGGAGTAGGGTGCTGGAGACGTAAAAAAGCCTTTTCCACCACAGATTGCCGCGGACATTCTCCGATGCTTAAACACGCTTGGCTGGGTTTGAGTTATTACAGGACGAGCAGAAGAAGCAGAGAGAAAAAGCCCGGGAGGAGAGCCACTTGGAGTGAACCAGAGTTTGATACGTTGTAGCTTCCACTGACTACCAACCCAGCTGTTACAGCTGGGGACAGAGGGCATTATGGTTTCCATTGCGACAGGCCATGGTGGGTGGGGTGAGGCGGGTCATAAATGGGCAGGCTGCACATGGAAATCAAAGATGCAGGTACGCACGCCAGTACTTTCCTGCGCCTGCCTGTGTTGGTGAATGCTGAGGCGCTCACTTTTGCATGTTCGTGTGCAGGGTGTGCGTCTGTCTGCCTGTCTACGTGTATGTATTTGACTGTACATGTCTTTGTTAACGATGACGACATTCACAGATGCCGCACAGGCAGGCAGGCAGGCAGGCAGGCAGGCAGGCAGGCAGGCAGGCAGGCAGGCAGGCAGGCAGGCAGGCAGGCAGGCAGGCAGGCAGGACATCGACAGACCGAGAATTGCACGCATGATTTTATGCATGTGTACACACATATGTATATACTTCTGTACTTTATTGCTAGCTGATGACAGTATGGCAAGAGGGGAAGGTAGAGTCCAGACGAGTCCAGACGTTCATGGTGCACTGCGACGCACCGCAGCTGTAAGATAATGGATAAACAAGTCTGTCTCCCTAGTGCAGCTCAGGCAAGCAGGCTGCCGAGCTCGAAAAAGTGAAAAAGCGCGCCTTCGCTGAGAAGGTCGTTGAGGCCTCTCTCACCAAAAATGATATAGCGTGCAACATCTCAAGCGCTGTGTCGTGCTGCAGTTGTCGTTCTCTTGGATCGATGGTTGCGAGGGGACGTAGAAGCGGAGAGCCAAGAAAGACAACAGGACTCTGGTTTCCTTGTCAGAAGCACCTCCTGCACGATTTACAGCACTTCGCATCCTAGTTCTTATCGTTTCCAGGGTTGGGAATTTAGAAGGACATGCTTTACACCTACTTGTTTCAAACGGTGCTTCTCTAGTTCCGCGGTCCAGACCCATTGCATTGCTGTTGTGTGCGGAAGTTGTTTTTCCGCGCAGGAGCATATTGACACGAGGTCTCAGGCTGAAGGATTTCGGAAATTCAATTCTATTCAATCTGCTGGTTGATGCTCAAGTCCGTGTGGCCGCAAAGCCCTGTGGCTTGTGTCGACAGGCATACTGGGATGGGGAGAAGAGCTGGGTGGCATGGCCGCACGTGGCCGCCAAAGCAGGAGACTTGTTCGGTTCTTTCCTTGCAGCATCTGTGACTGTCTCATCGCACACAGATCGAATATTTGAGTGAGCCGCTGATGTGGGTTTTGGAAGGTCGGGCGGGAAGAACCGTAGAGCTGTTCGGTTCCGAGGAATGTCTTCCCCTTTGCGTGCCAAAGTGAAGATCAGCTTGTTTTGCTTGTTGCCGCAGTCCGCAGTCCTTTCAAGCTGCAATTTTAATTTTACATTGGTGTCCGGCCATGGAAACTCTTGCTTCCGAGCTTCGGATGAGTACCAAATGCACCTTTGTGCATTGCCAGGGCGAGAGCCAAGCAGAAGACGGAGCAATGACCCGAACAGTTTCGTGTCCAGCCATCATGACGGACGTCGAGATCTTCGCCCATCGGTCGGCCTCCGGTAGCAGTTCTGCCTCTCGCTCCCCTTCCACGGCCAAATCGTCGTTTGAGGGCAATGACGGCAGCCCACTCTCTCCGCTTAATAGCGGCTCCCAGACCAACTCGCCGTGCGGGCAGGGGGGAAGCGCCGTCGGGATCGCTGTGCCGATCGTGCTTGCTTCGCCAGTCGTAGTCCCGGTGATACCACAGCCTTGCCCAACGGTTGGGGCCCCGGCCATAACGCAAGCGTGGATGCCACTTTCGGAAGCTGCCCACAGCGTGACCAGCTCGCACAGCGCGCACAGCAGCCACAGTGCCGTGCCGCTGGCCGTCCCGACAGCGGGCGCCGCGGGCGCCGCGGGCACCTCCAGCTCCCAGTCGCCGGCATCGGCGCCACCATCGGCACCCAGGGCCCGGCTCCCCAGCAGTTCGGCCAACCAGAAGCGGATCAACAGGGAGCTTATAGTCGCCGGCAAGAAAAGTGGTCTCGATGTTCTGAAGGTGGTGGCAACGCACCTCGGACAGATGAATGGCGTGAATGTGGCTACGGCTTTCTACCGCATCTCGCAGGCCCCTGAACATGAAGGAGAAGAGCTCCTGGCCAGCGCTGCCTTCAGCAGCATGCTGGAGGTGGCGGAGTGCTACGCCGAGCAGGAACTGGCAAAGAGAGATGCTTCGCTGCCTGCGAATTGCAGCACCATCATCGCCTGGTCCTGCGCTCGGCTAAGGGTTTTCCCGCCTTCGCTTTTTGGGAAATTGGCGGCTGTGGCGACGCCCCAGCTGGGAGGCTGTCAGCCTTACGAGATCACGAATTTGCTGTGGGCTTTCGCAGAGTTCCACAAGTACGAGCAGAATGCTGCTTCGGCCCTGGACCCGCAGCTGCGGGCCCTCGTAGATGCCGTGGCGGAGGCCTTCCGGCTACGAAGTTTCGGTGACTTCAAGGTGCAAGTCCTGACCTCGGCCCTCATGTCCGTCAGCGCATTTCCCTGGGACCCGAGCTTCACCAAGACCTGGATCCTCACCAGCACCTTCCAGGAGCTAGTTTCACGCTGGCAGGAGCTGGCACTCGAGGGTCGGGGGCAAGTGGTGCTTGCACTCAAGCGGCTAAGCATCAAATGCAATCCTTTGTACAGAAGTCTCCTGAGTAATGCGGGCGGGAAGCGTCCAGCCGTCATGATCTCACTGGAGGCTCTTGGGCTGAAAGAGTACATTTGCCGAGGAGACAGCCCTTGAATTTAGTGGTCTTCTCGCCCTTTCCAATCCTGGCAGTTTGCAACATGCACTGAATACACATTTTTCGCCCCGATGCGGCGTGCTTCCACGGTGCGCACCAGCTGCCCGATAAATATTTGCATTAGTTCTCCGCAACAGGGACCGCCTGGCATCCTTAGCATTGCCATTTTCATATCCGGGCATGAGTATGCAAAGCTACAGCTGTGAGTCTGACAACCAAAGCTGGCTAAGTGATGTCGGGTCCTTCTGTTTCTACATGCCTAATCACCTCGCACGCACTCGCAGTTATCTGCAATTCTGGCAGTCCGGTCAAGGCTGAATGTGGCCTCATTCGGCATGCGGCCACTCGCGTCAAGTTGCCGTTGGTAAGTCCTGTCGGATCTTGTGGCTAATGCCTTTACAAGTTTACATATAATGCTGACGACAGCAGCAACAACAGCAATGGCAACAACAAGTCTTCTTGTTGTTGCTGCATGCGAAGCTGGCGGCTTTGTACAGAGCATGCCTTTATGAGGCTTTAGGCCAGGCTCGATCCTGCTCCGAAGCCCCTCACGAAAGCAGCCGAAGCAGGGCTCTTAGAGAGTCCTAGAAGAGGAGGGCCCTGCAAGCCTGCAAAGACCTGAGTATACAGGTTGCAAAAGAATCGCTCCGGCCTTTTGGTTCCGGCTCCTGGACCCTGGTCACATGAAGAGAAGTTCCCCCCGAAGTTCCGAGCCCTGACTCAGGCCGAGATTGGGCCTGGAACGTGGAAGGACATCGGACTTTCCGAGCTTTTTGCAAGAGAGCAAAAGAACACAGTTTAGAAAGCCATTTTGACACAAGTGCTCTCGTAGGGTCAGTAAGGAAAGGGCGGCTAAGGGGGGCCCTTTCCTTTTGAGTTTTTTTTTTTTGGCCTGTTGGTTTTCCCATCTCCAGGAGGTGCAGGGCGAGTTCTTCTGCACGCTCTGTGAGAAATCCCCCAACGGCAACAACCTGGAGCCTCCGGCCTCGGGTTTCAGGGTTCTGGCTTTGCTTGGGCTTTGCTTAGGCTTTCCATTTTTTCGGCGGGCGTCTGAGGGTTTGAGGGCGCTACATCACTAGTCTTTGCATTCAGGTGCAGCTTCTCAGGTTTCTGCTCAGCCCAGATTTGTTGCAATGGCATATTCACGCAGACACATCAGCCTGAGAGCCTGAGCCTTAGCCCTATGCCGCCAGCCCGGTCCATCCTGCGAGGAGTCCCACCTCAACAGCGAAAATCACAAGAAGACGCCCGGCGGCTGTCGATCCTCCGAAGTTGGAGTTGCTTTTGCTTTTGCCTTCGAGACTTCTCGGATTCTCCTTCCAAGAATTCTGTGTCCACTTCGATGCCTGAATACACCACACGTGTTGCATGGAGCTGCCGGCTTTTGCAGCTTGTGTCCAGCTGCACCAGCACCCCACCTGTGCGTGAAACGCTTGTCAGACATTCCTCCTGTTGATTTCAAAACTTTGCCGAGGAAGCTGGCTTGGGCCACTGGGGTCGGCTACGCTGCTTCCGTGCCGGCAACCCCCATGGCCACCGCCATGCCAGCTACGCAGTTTGGCGACCACGGTGTTGTCTTTGGAGGTTTGTGGTGAGTTTGCAGTTTCCGATAGATCGTTGAGCCCTGTCAATATTGGTAGGTTCGTGACGTTGCCTCTTTGGCTTTTCTCCAGTCCTGGTTTTGGCAGGGCGCGTGCAGGGCGTGTAGGTAAACCTTGACGGTAAGAGCTAACCTCCGACAGTTTCTAAGGCTCCGAAAACAACTCCAAGCCCAGGTGTGTGCCGGTTCCAGTCCTGCCGCAGGCTCCTGCATGGTTAAATGCCGGGGAGTGCAAGTCAAGTCCAGGAGTCCTCTGCAGTCTTGGGCAGTTTTGGGGAACCATTAAGAATGGAAGGGCTGCAGTGGGTGTTCCCTCTTGGGGCTCATCGCAATTGTTTTGCGGCATCGTCAGGGCCCCGATGCCAAGTACAGCGAAAACAAGCCGCATGCTTCCGAGTTCTCCGGAGTCCTTCCTGGGGTCCAAGGACCTGCCGAGCTGGCAACAGCTTGGACCTGACGGAATGCTCCGCTGCATTCCCTGCGGAAAGGCCCGTCGACGGCATGTTCTAGATTTTTGGTTTGCCATCTGTTTGGGCCTTGGGTGTGGGAGGGTCGCAGTCACAATTGCAAGCGAAGAATCTAGGCCGGAACTGCGTTCAAGCGAGGCCTGTCCGTTGTTGCTTGCCAGACCCTGGCAAAGACGCACATCCGTCCCCTTTCACGACATGTGTACTGCGAATTCATTCAAAGAATCACGGGTAGGCATAGCATACGCTCACGTGCAGACATCCCCATTTATCATCCAGAACGTAGCCAAAGCAAGCGCGAGTGGCGCGTGCTACATTCATCTGCATTCAGTTTGTTCACAGTGGTGATGGCTGCTGTTGCAATTAAGTTTCTGCTTGTGAGTTCACGCATGATCGTGAGCGAAGCTTTTTCCGTCATGTCCCCGTTACTCGTCGTCCTTAGTGAGGCTTACTCTGAAGATGCCTTGTCGGCTATCAAGAAACTGCTGAGGGCTGTACTTACTGCATGTTTTATGGTGGTCCTTAGATTTAGATGCTGCTAGGATGGTTCAATCATGACTATCATCTCTTGGCTCCTTTCAGGTGGTAGATGACAACCACTTGATGACAGGAGCAAGTGGTCTTGCGAGCGATTCATCGTAGAGGGAAGTTGCTCGATGCAGAACTGAACTAGTTCCGACAATGTTTCCGGCAAAGCTGCTAGAATGAGTCTAGCGAACTCCGTCATCGGCGGTAAATTGCAAGTTCTTGACATGTGTTTGCGCCGGTCGTATTCAGATGCGCATGAGCACGAACCTGAAGCGAGGCGGGGGTGGAATGTCTGTTGCGACTGTTAATCAATCGTTCTTGTTCTTGTGGCGACTGCTGTTGACATTGACGTGACATGGGTCCATGGGTCATCAATTCGGAAACTGGAGCATGGACATAAAGAGCAGATGGACACGAAAACATTCTGAGCGCCCCCCCCCCCCCNNCCCCCCCCCCCCCCCCAAGATGTTCGAGGCATCTGCACCAACATCCCGTATCGTTAGAACCTTATCTAAGACAACTTGCAAGCAACCCGTGACTAGATCCATGCGCGCCCAAACCTCCTAAGCCACAAGCACAAACGGTGCACATCACCCTCCGCAGGCCTAAATCCGCATCCTGCTAGAGACTTCTGCAACCAACACAGGAAGTTCCCGCTGCCCCCTTTGCTCCGAAGTTTCCAGCGCCATTCCTTCCATCGGACGAAGGAGACCACAGCCGTCGACTGCAGGCCTTCCTGGAGCAGGCCTAAGAGGGTTCTGACACACGAGCTGTTCCCTTCTTCCCCCTGAATGCCAAATCTTCCACCGCTATCCCTGCCGACTCAGATAATTAGGGAGGCAGCTTTGGATGCTTTAAATGGGATAGAATCTCCTGCTGCAGTTTCAGGACGAGACCTCATTCTCTTGACGCATCTTAGCAACGGACGAAGCATTTCTACTACAATCTTGATACTCGCGATGCTGATTGTTGTCTCTGTGGTGCTATCTCGAGACTGAGGACAGCAGTGGCACAGGAATATGTCTACTCACTGTGAGCAATGTTCGCCACGACTACCAGGAGAAGCTGAAGACATCTGGTTTCGCTCCGCCCCAGCTCGAGTACCTGGCCTACGTTCCATGCCGCTCCGCACGCAACAAGTCTGGACGGGCCTCCTTCGACTGTGGAGATCCGGCGCAGTCCATAGCGCCTGAGCCCAAAGTCTTGCTTGGACGGCATGCTCGCGCTTTGGAGTGCAAGGGGTTTAGGCCTCAATTGTCCGGCGAGGCCAATTCACTGCTCCACCTGAGCAAGGCAACTTCCGACAGCTAACATCGATATCACTACGAAAAGCCGAGCCCTGCCAGGGCCAGGTGAGTTTGATGCGTTTCCACTGTTTGGGTGCCACTGCTGCTTTGTGCCATTCTCTGTCGGGGACCGCCAGTGCGTCATGCAACTCCGGTGCGAAATTCGTGGAAGGCTGGTGACCAAATCGACGCGTTCTCCCGTGGAACATCACAGGAAGTCAAAGAACAGCTGCAAGACTCTTCGCAACAGTCGGCATCCCAAATCCCAAACAAAAGGACAGTGAGATCTGTTTACGCATCTCTGCACAACTTGTGCAAACCATCACGTGCAGTCTGAGTAGATGCTCGGAGAGCATACGAGGGCTCGTTTCTATTCCGGAAATTTCATGCTCACACGCCGTTGCCAAACCTGTGCAGGACCTCTCGTGCAGTGATATAAGTTTAGACATTACTGCCGCAAATAAGCAACAGACTTGGGCAGTACAGCGTCTCCTTGAGTATCGCATTGTTCGCCGCACAGATCTGTCTTGCATGCAGAATTGAGTTGTCTGGAGTGCGGAATCAGAGTTCCGCCTTGCACTGAACCCAAGCTGACCAGGCAAAGCACTCCAGATGTGCCAAGGGTGCTGCTGCGAATTCCAAACATAGAGAAATTAGAGCAACGCTGATCAATGTGTTTGGTCTCACTTTCCTACCAGTTTCTGTTTGTGGTCATGGGTATGTCGGGCTTGTGTGACGTTGGCCCGCAGCTGAGGGGACGAAAACGACCCGAGCAGTGAGCGCTGCATGAAGTGCTTACTTTGCGGCACCTCGGTTGCTTGTTTACTCAACACCGAGCGGTGCTGCAGCTACTTCTGCCCACGTCTCCACCCCTGCCGTTGTTGATACTACTGTCACTAATGCTCCTGCTGCTTCCCCTTTTCCTCCTCCTCCTCCTGTTATACCAATACTACCATCATCTACCACCACTTGCTACTACAACTATTAGAAGCGACTGGCATGTCTACCTATAATACGACGAAGGCGACTACTACGACGACGGCTACTACTACTACATCTCCCGCTGCTGTTGCTCTTGCTGCTGCTGCTGCTGCTGCTACTACTACTACTACTACTGCTACTACTACTACTACTACTACTACTACTACTACCGCCACTACTATTACTACTACTACGACGACGGCGACGACGACCACGACTAGTACGACAACTACTACGACTACCACGACTACTATGTCGCGCAAGACTCAACAGTATGGCTGTACATTCAACAGGCCGCGCACAGAAGTGATACAGCCCTCAGTGCACATTCTCAGATGAGCAAGCGGATGATGCCTTCCTTACAGAAGCAGCTTCCTCTCCACCATTAGCAGCGGCAGCAAGCAGAGGTAGTAGACATCGACGATAAATCGACGTGACCGGAGCGGCGTGTGCAATGCAATGCAATACTACCACCGCCAGATCTAACACCAATGCTGCTGCTACTTCTACTGCTAGGATCGACAGCAGAAGCGATTCTCAATGTTCTTGTTGGCTCCGGTTGTTGCTGTTGCTTGACATATAGCTGAAGGGCACCAAAGATTTTGTGTGGGAAGTTTGCAGTCACGGTGACACGTTCGAGGAGGCAGCACGTCAGCATTAGACGGTTGGTCAGGTCCTCGGTGAATTTCATTGACGCAGGTTTTGCCGGGCAACAGGCTGCAATAGGGGGTTCGTTGCCAGGCACCCAGAGTCAGAGCTGGAACATGCGAAGGAATCCTGCCCTCAATTTTCAGTGACGCCGTAGTCGCGTCCTTGCCCCCGACGGAGCCACCGCCTCCAATGAGCCTTAAATGACACCATAGACTCCACATAGACCAATAGAACGGTCCCGAGATTGGCCTTACTGTGTCAAGGCAAGTGGGCGCAGGATGAGACCAGCCACACGGGCACTCCGAACCAGCCACAAGGCTCCAAGGAGCCACGGAATTTGATTCACAGGCTAATTGGACTTGTTGTTGGATTGCTTGCTTGATAGTTTTGTTTGTTTGGTTGTTTGCTTGGTTGAGTGGTTCATGGACTGATGATGGTGATGCAGATGAAATGCAGATAGTGATGCAGATGAAGATGAAAATGGAGACGAAGATGGAAAACAATGATCATAATGATGATGATGGTGATGCAGATGAATGAGCATCTGAGCAGATGTGCTTGGACGCACGAGTCGACATGCACCGCCACAGGCGTCTGATCATGCCTCGAGACCAGGCGGACCTAACACGGCTTACGCGGCCGGATAACCATGACGATGATGATGGTGATGTTGGTGATGATGATGATACGCAGGAGGAGGATAATGACAATGATGATGATGCTGATGATGAGGACGAGACGGAGGCTGATGATGATGCTGCTGATGGGGATGACGACGACGATACCGACAAGCCAAGCAGCTGTCGCAGAGCAGCAGCCACAGCTGCACCAGCAGCAGAAACAGCGACTGTTGCACATGTCGCATAGCCCTTGTCGTCCTAAATTCACGACCCTAGGCCACAATGGACTGCTTAACTGCTTGGACGTACCGACCTCAAAGCACGAAAGCCGTGACCCCTACCTGAAGCCGTTAAGCAGGTACCCCGAAGCACCCAAGCATCTCAGACCGTCCACCCAAACAGCCTCTCTCGAAGTGTGAAGTAAGAAGCTTGCCCTGATTACTCACCCAAGTCCAGGACCTCTGAACACATTCAAGCCCCAGGTAGGCTTCGAACCCATGCGAGACCATTCCCTTGCATGTTTTCTCCTGTATTGCCTAGCCCCAAGAAGAGGTAATACGCGCCTGCAGAAGATTCCACCCTCAGAGGGCCCTGCAATACCCAACACACCGCATGGTCAATATGATTAATCCTTGAGAAGGTTGAGCACCTGGACAACTCCAAATCTTTGACCCAAAGCATTTTCTGTCCCTGGGGTGTTTGTGCACACGTGGCTTTAGGGTTAATGAGACTTTTGGGGATGATCCGTTGAGGATCTTAGGTTTAGCGGTTTGGTTTGTGATCCGGCTCTCTCTTGGAGGAGCACCAGAAAAACCTCCGCAACTACGAGCAGCTCAGCTTTTGATGCGATGCGGCAGTTCGGAGTTTCGAGTCTATGATGGGGAAGCTGGTTTGGTGCTGCTCGAAGGTTTCTCACATTCGAGTCCTCCTATAGGCTTCTGGATGCCAATAGAGTCTTCTAACTCGACACAACACGCGTTTCAGTCTGAGAAAGACCTATAAAACCCTTTATAGGCTTACAAAGCCATCTTCACATGCATATTGTACACACATATACTCACACACGCATATCATATATATATATATATATATGTATACATATATACAAAGGTACATAGCTACGTAAGTAATCCGATTACCCAATTCATCCAGCAAGTTCTCTCCCCAGGGCTGCCGAAGGGCAGTTTAGACCGTACTGGATTACTCAACTTGAGCCTTGTTTCTGCAGAGATCACGCCGCTGATGCACGAAACAGCCTTGCACACCAAGGTGGCACCGCAAGAACGTCCTCGAGCAGCGCCAGAAGTATCATCCGTCAGGCCTCTTGCTTTGCCTTCTCGCGCATGGGATGGAGAGGGCTCAGCGCTTACACAGGTTTTTCTGTTGATGGTATGCATAAGTCGAGGAGGCACTCGCGCAGGGATGCAACATGGTAGGTGCCCTCATTGCAAGGAATCGGCACTGTTGGAGAATCTGAAGGTTTGAGGACAATCAGTGTCTGATCAACAATGGTGTCAGTCACAGCATACAGTCAGTTTAACAGCAGGAGTGGCAGTCATGATGGTCCAACACAGGGACAAGGAAGAGCAACAGCCACAACCACAACAACAGCTAGTGGAAGGAAAAGATACAGCACATCGATAGACCATGATTCTAGGCTTCAGTGCCGTTGGGACCTCAATCGAGTCCTTAGGCTTAAAGGAGTCTGGTGCTGCGACACCGATACTGCCAGCCCTTGATCGCAACCCCGAGTACTAGTCCCCAGTTTCCAAATCGAGCAAAGGCCCCACCAGATCGACGGCGGCCCCCAAGGCCCCTCCTGCGTGCCTGTGACTTCCTTCAGTTGGCAAAGGTGCCTCCTACTATAGGAGCTTGAGAGGGTCAGCTCTGTCAGTCTCAGTGATTGGGCGTGAAGAGTGTGCGAACGACTCAGCGGCACCTGCTTGAACGGGGCCTAGCCTGCTAGGGTCACAGCCCCTGCAGCCTTCAGCACACACAGTTTCTTCAATCCGGGCCCTCCCACCGACCTAGAGGTGATATTGGGAGTTCAAGTGCCGCATCACTCTTGCGCATGGACAGCGAACCCTGAATCTTTACAAGTTCGACAGGCAGTTGCAAAGGCGCCGGCTCCTCCGACTCCGGCCCCCTGGCAGGTGCGACGGCAACGACAGCAGCAACATAACAGCTCCCAATTTCAGAGAACTAGTGAGCAACAGAAATAATGCGACAACAGTTGTAACACTACTTCATCGTCACACAACAAAGAAAAGTAGACACGCATCACACGGGCAGAGAGCACCACAGCCGTGGCAACAACCAGACGGCCTCATGCTGCCGCTACTAACCTACTTCTACAGCTCATGACTATGACTGGGAAAGAAACGCTCCGCTTATAGGACCGGAACTGCCTTGCGTGTTGAATTAACACGTTGCTTATCATCCAGTGGGGTTTCAGGATCACGCGAGGGCCTTACCAGGCATCCCAGGCCTGACTAACGATCAGGTATCGTCTGACCGCCACGCAAATTACCTGCCATGTCACAGAAGACATTTATGAAAACGGTACTACCTACTGAAGGCTTTCGCCGGGCGTCCGCAACGTAAGATCGGGGAGTTCAAGTTCAGGGTTCTTTTTGGATCTCGGTAGATTTCCTGCAAAGCGTTTCCGTCGATGGTGTCCATAACAGGCATCCTGTCTTGTCAACGAATGAACGTGAACACCTACAGACAGGCATGGACATAGGCACAGACATGCAAAGCTACATACAGACGTACATATATACACGTACACATACTTATGCGCATACGCATACACATACATTTATGCATATGCATGCACATACATCTGCATTTACATGTACATAGGTATACAAGGACATCAACGTATGTGCATACCTATACAGACACATATACATACGCACATGTACTATGCACACATTTGTACATACACATCTATTCACACACATGCATATACATGCATATACACTTACATAGACACATACATACGCATACACATATGCATATGCACAGACACTTACATAGACACATACATATGCAGACACATATGCATATACATATACGCATGCATGTACCTACCTGTACAGAAGCTGTGCACAAAGCGCATACACAGATGCGTATACAGGTAATCATGCTTATACGTGCACATGTACATATGCATACGCGTATGCATACACACATACATGTGCACCTGCACATAAATATGCATTGTTACATACACATACACGCATATACATGTACACGTACACATACATATGTGCACACGTACACGCATACACACACACACACACACTCACACATACATGCATGCATGCATAAACATCTGTATAGCTGCATACACATAGAGACACACACACACGGGCACACGTGTTACTATATATATGTATATGTGTATGTATATGTGTATGTGTGCACATGTATATGTATACATATATGCATATGTATATGCATGTGTATATGTATATGTGGATGTACATGCATATGTATACATACCTTTACATACAAATGTGTAGAGCATCCTTATAAGAAGTACGGGCTTTGTAGGTGTGTACTATGCCTGTCTGCATGCAAGCATGCATACATGTGACGTATGCGTGTGGAGAGTGAGAGTGTATATATATATATATACACACACATACGGATATAGATGTATACATGCATGCATTATACATTCATGTAACATATGTACATATGTAAATTATATACATATATATATATATACATCTATACATATATACA